GAGTCACAGTAACCTATAGGAGAGTCAAGTCCAAGTTCCCAATCTCAGAAGTAAGCTAGGCCGTTAACTTTCCTGGGCCAGGATGACAAGAAATGACAATTCCAGTGGAGAGCTGGTAACAGGGAAAGTAAGCTGCCTTAATGCCATATATTTCTGATATTAGATACATATGTAAAAAAAAAAAAGAAAAAAAGAAAAAAAGATGGTATTTGATAGTGGCATTTCAAGGGAAAAATAATGTAATAAGATACCCACACCATGTTCAATACGGAATGAGTACAACTGAGTCCTCCTTGACTCAGAGTTCGCTGGAAGCCACTTGTTGAAATAAGGACAGTGAGTACCTTAAGTATGTCCTATGCCAAAATGGTCTCGGATTTTTTTTTTTTTTACTTATTTCTACAAGCCAAATATCAACAAAAACCTCAAAACAAAAACCAAATTGACTAAACAGTGCTGGATTCAGAGTTAATAATTATATAGTAACTTCCATTCCAAAGGTTAAAATTCAAAACACAAATTTCACTATAGATATCTAGCACTCATGGACAGAAAGAGACAAGGGTATGAGGTGGGGATGGGAGTATTGGGTGGGGGGAGGGTCAGGAAGAGGGAGCCCACTCATTACAAAAAACTTTCTCTGCAGGAACTGTAACCACATAATAGCTGCTGGTCAGCACGAGATCCACCCAAATGGAACAAAGTACAAAAGCCACCCTGTCCCCAAAATAAGTATTGGAAGTGGCAGAGAAATGGCAAGAAAACGGCCTGTGATCAATAAACTGCCATGATACTGAAGTTCCCCTCCCACATCTTCTCGCCAGCTCCCAGGCTTCCATGACCTGGTGGGAACCTCCACTTTCCATCCTCTGCCAAGGAAGTGGATCCGGTTCCCACCATCAACTCAGGAGGCCCACCACTGCTCTTCCAGCCGGGTGAAGCATCCACAGGCCTAGGGCACCCATCTAAGGCTGCAATGTTCTTAAATTTTTTTATATTTACTGGATATTGAGAATGACCTTTCTTTACTTACAGAAATAGACACAAAGGCAAAGCAACAGTTTCTTGTATATTTTGTTGTGTCAACTTCTATACTTCTTAACTTCACCAGTCCTGAGGGTTCTAACTTTTCCAGTAAACAAAGAAAATATCTCTCCTGCCAGTTTATGATTTTAACTAGGACAAGGAAGAACTGCAACAAACCCTAAAATGGAAAGATCCCAGCCCTAGAAAAGGGAATATACTGGGCAAGAAAAGGAGCTCTGTTCTTTTCACATGTTATTTCAAATGTACATAAATAGATTGGGGGGGGGGGGGGGGGGAGGACAGGGACAGAAGACACTTGAACAGATAAATGAATAACAAATTGTGGTATAGCCATACAATGGAGTATCATTCAGCCACCAAAAGGATTGAGGTACTGGTACATGTTATGATGTATAACACGTAACCCATGTGTAACATGTAATCATGTGACATGATGAACCTCACAAACATGATGTTAAAGGAAAGCAGACACAAAATATCACAAATTGTTTCTCTGCAATATCCCGAATGGGTAAATCCATGGAGACAGGAAACTGATTGGTGGTTGCCAGGAGCTGGGAGAAAGGGAAATCAGGGAGGAACTGCTTAATGGGTAGATGGTTTTCTTTTCAAGTGATGAAAATGTTTTGGAACTAGATGTAGTGGTTGCACAACATTGTGAATGTACTAAACACCACTGAATTGTTCACTTTAAAATGGTAAAATGGTTTTAAATGGTTTATGTTAGGTGAATTTCACCTCACTTTAAAAACTAATTAATTTTTTAAATAAAGGATACTGGGGTGCCTGGGTAGTTCAGTCGGTTAAGTCCGACTTTTGATTTCAGCTCAGGTCATGATCTAGTGGTTCCTGAGTTTGAGCTCCACATCGGGCTCTGCGCAGTGTGATTGGAATTCTCTCTCCCCCTCTCTGCACCTACCCCCACTCATGCTCACTCGCTCTCTCTCTCTCTCTCAATAAACAAACTTAAAAAACTAATAAAAAAATAAAATAAGGGATACTAATGGGCAAAACAAGATGTATATGTAAAAAGGAAGCCCATAAACTCCTAGGGCAAAGATAGTATTTTTGCTGGCACTCGGCTTCTACTCTTGATCACAACGCAAAGTTCAAGTGCTAAGCTGGATAGACTCTGCCATCATGCCATGTGTGAAAGTGAGTGCGTGTCTATTCTCTTCTGAAAAGACAGGGAAGAGAACAGCAAGTGAAGAAAATAGAATGGTAAAGCCTTGCCAAATGCAAAGGAAGGAGGGGTGATTCCCCCTACTGCACCCCACCCAACTTGGCACCAGGAGTAACACTCCCATTAGGGTTTCGAAATGCCAGCCGGAGCTGGAATCGGCACAAGCAAGCTTCTCTGCCTGGATAAAAAGCAAGCCACCCAGCAAGAAAAGCTGGGGTGCTCCATTTGCTGCCCATGTTGGCATCAGCACCACCCTTTGCTCAAAAGCCCCGAACTGGCCTAGATCAGCATCAGTGGCTGGCTCTCCCAAGCCAGCCAGCCTAACAGCAAGAGCTTGTTACAGCTCAAGTGTGCCCTCCTCCTGAAGGGTCCTGATCTACTCCATCCCACAGGCCTTCCAAGAGCCCGGCCTCCAAACCCTTTGCCTCCAACACATTAAAAATGGAGCCAAGATACGCTCAGAACTTTTCCCTGTCCAGTATGAAATAAATATCCTCTCAGCCCCTCTTCCCTCACAGGCCAGCTCAATAACCCACTTACCCCTACCCGCACACACGTACACACTGCATTACTGCCTTGAAGACCGGCTCCACGCGGGGGCACGAATGCGCCCCCCACGCCTCAGCCGGGCCCCACTACCCAGTCACGGTCATCCCAGCCCATCTGACCTAACAGCTCTCGCAAAGGTCCCTCACTCACTGGGCACCATGCCTGTGCCAGTTCCCTGACACCAAAACAGGTGTCCCTCCGCTAAACACCGACGCCCCCTTAGAGCCTGTCCACTCCAGGCACGGGAGCCACTCTCGGGACCCCTCAACTCTTGACGACGACACTCTTTCAGCCCCCTCCAGCCAGGCAGCGACGCCGTCTTCAGCCCCCTCCAGCCAGGCCTCGACGACCCCCAGGCCCCCAGGCTGGCCCGGACGCCCCCTCCCCCTTACCTGCGGGGGTTCAGCCCTGGCTGACAGGGGGCTGGGCAGCGCCTGGAGGAGCAGGAGCGCCATGCCACCCAGGAGCCTTCTCCTCTCCATCCCCCTCCTGCTCCTGCTCCTCCGCCACGGCGCCGCCACCTCCCTCCTCCTCCTCCCTCTCCTCCTCTTCCCTCTTCTTCCTTCTTCCCTTCTTTTCCTGTTTCACTCTCCCCTCCCGCTTCCGGCTCTGCTCCACCCCGCCCCAGCCCAAACACCCTCCCACACACTGGGCAGGCTCTCCAGTTCCAGCGGTTCACGGGCTCTTGCCCTTCGTCCATTGACCAAAATAGCTGTCGATCAAGCAGAAGTTCCGCCCCTTCACCCTCCCAGTGGAGACGGAAGGCCTGAGAGATCCAGCCAATGAAAAGTAGGAGGAAGCCGGGCCATCTTGAGTGCTGCATGGCGGTGTAAACGCGCCCCACGCCACAGAGAGTGGCGGAAGGAGTTCCGATCCGGGGGCGGGGCCCTGTGGTACGAACATCGGAAAGTCTAATTCGGATGCAGCCATCTTAAGCGTGGCGGAAGTACTAGATTTCTACACTTCTGCACAGAGCGAAGAGGGGTATGGTAATTCTGAAGAGTATTGGAAAATAGGTTGTGGTACTCCTAACGAAGAAAACAATTGCAGCCTAAAAGTCTTTTGACGTCTTTTGTTTTGAAGCACAGCCCTGGTACCTTGGCTCAAATCGCCCAGTGGTAGGTTAGGTCCGTGTGAATTCTCTGTGAAATAATACCTTTACCTGAGGCACGGTGCTGTGTCACCCCAAGTTCCAGGGACAACATTCTATTGACTCTACCTCAGAAATCGCTCTGAAATCCACTCCCATTGTTTCCGTCCGTGTTCTCATCTTCTGGCTAAACACAAATGCTCTCCCTGCTGGCCCTAGTTGCCAATTCTTCCCTCTCGAATGCCTGCCGCACGCCACAGCAAGTGCGCTCTTGCCATACTGTCTTACGGCTTTCCCTCTTGAAATACTTCAACTACCTACGGAATATATAGTCCAAACTACTCAATAGGGTTCTCTCTTGTATCCTGATGCCTGCCTACTTCTTTTTATCTCATCTGCCGCTACATTTCCCCACACATTCCCCTTACACCAAACTCTTAAGAGATGCCCCAGTGTGCTGGGGAACTTCTAGTTCCCACCCCCTCCCTTGTTTCTTCTTCTGGATTCCCATAACACTAAAACACACTGTGTCTGATTGTGGTATCTGCCTGGCTGGCCCCTACCACTAAATTCACAGCTTTTTGTATGGCACACCGGGTGTTATTTTTATTTTTTTTTTTAAGATATCCCTGCAACATCTTGTACAAAGCCCAACCATGAGTCCAACAATGTTCGTAAAATAAATGAACAAGTGAAGAACCATGCCAGAGAGGCCAGATTCCTGTAGCTGCCAATTTCCTCTCAAAATCCTGCCAAAGCATTTTGTAGCCTGGCCTAGTCTAGCCCATGGCTGAGCCCACAGGGAGTTTGTTCTTGGCTTAAATGGTGGCAAAGTGGGAAACAGATAAGAGTGAAGAGATTGGTTCTGCCTCTATCTTGATCCTACTTTCCCAAGTGTTACAAAAGGTAACAAGTGTTTTTGCCAATCTCAAATGTCTTAGAAATTCATCCATACTACAATCAAGCTCCCTAGGGGAGAAATAAAGATTCAGTACTAGGCACAGGCCAAATTATTTTCACAGCACAGGGTCTCAGTCCTGGCTTCAAGGTTTTAGAAGCCTTCCTATATAAAAGCCAGGTATCATCATCAGGATGCTAATTTCAATTTAGCAAACACAGGTTTTTGTCCTAACTTCCCTTTCTTTACCTGAAAGCTTAAATTGAGCCGCTGCATGGGACAAACACTAAACCCTGTCTGGATTAACACTTCTCACACGAAGGCGTTTGAGTCACCCTAATCACCTGGCTTCTGACATCCCACAGGTGCCAACTCAAAGAGAAGCAGAGAGGTCTTGCAAAATGGAGCTGAGGTGCAGTTTGAGGGAGCACTCTCTAAAGTCCTCTAAACTGTAGCCACTACAAACTTCAGACTTTTCCAAAAGAGCGATTGTCTATAAAAGGAGGAGGAATGCTAGGAAGTTTAAGGAGCTGGGAAGGAAAGGAGAAGGTTGTCAATTCTTGAAAGAACATCAGTGTGGGACTGCTTCCAAGCTCTGGCTTGCTCTGGTAATGTTTTTCCTATTTGCCTTTGGAAATGGGCAAAGCGGAGGCCAGAGCTCCTATCCTAAGGAAGCTGGCTCAGAGACACAGACTTTTCTGCTCAGAAATTAGCTAAAGTCAAATTGCACATGTTATGGAATGGATGAACTTTGAAAATATCATGCTAAATGAAAGAAGTCAGACACAGAAGGCCATAAACTGTATGATTTCCTTTATATGAAAAGTCCAGAATAGGCCAATCCATAAAGGCAGAAAGTAGATAAGGAGTTTCAAGGGGGTGCGGGATGAAGGCAATCCAGAGACTGCCAAATGGTACAGAGTTTCTTTGGGGAGTAATAAAAATATTCTGAAATTAGTGATAATGATTACAACTCTGGATGTACTAAAACCCATAGAATTGTACACTTTAAAAGGATGAATTTATGAGTTCTGTTTTGTTTTAATTTTACTTATTTTGAGAGAGACAGAGTGCGAGCAGGGGAGGGGCAGAGAGAGAAGACAATCCCAAGCAGGCTCCCAACATAGGGCTTGAACCCACAAAACCGGGAACTCATGACCTAAGCTGAAAACGTCAGATGCTTAAGTGACTGAGCCACCCAGGCACCCCTAAAATTTTTTTAATGTTTACTTATTTTGAGAGACAGAGAGAGAGAGAGAGAGAAAGAGAGCGCCACAGGCGATAAACAGAGAGAATCCCAAGCAGGCTCCACACTGCCAACACAGAACCCGACACAGGGCTCAAACCCAAGAACCATGAGATCATGACCTGAGACAAAATCAAGAGTCAAGACACTTTAAACGACAGAGCCACCCACACACCCCTGTATGTCTTCTTCAGAGAAATGTCTGTTCATGTCTTCTGCCTATTTTTTTTTTACAAACCTAATTTTATTTAAATACTCTCTACCCAACGTGGGGTTTGAACCCACAATCCCAAGATCAAGAGTCCATGCTTTTCCAGCTGAGCCAGCCAGGGGCCTTTTCCTGCCCTTTTTTTTTTTTTTTTTTTTTTTTACTGTATTATTTGTTTTTGTGTGTGTTGAGTCGTATAAGTTCTTTATGTATTTTGGATAAGAACCCTGTATCAGCTATGTCATTTGCAAATATCTCCTCCCATTCAGTAGCTTGTCTTTTAGTTTTGTTGACTGTTTCTTCGGCTGTGTAGCTTTTTATTTTGGTGTAGTAACAATAGTTTATTTTTGCTTTTGTTTTCCTTGCCTCAAGAGATATATCTGGACCCACAATTTCTATTTTAACAACCCATCCAGGTGACTCTGAAATATATTAAGAACCATTGCTCCAGAGTAGGGGTAACATTTTGTGTACAGGGCCAGAGAGCAAATATTTTAATGCTTTGCATGCCACATACATGGGGGTCTCTGTCATATATTCTTGGCTTTTTCTTTTTTTGCCTTTTAAAATATAATTCCCAGGCACACAAAAACAAGTAGCAGGTGGATTTAGGCCCTTGAGCCATGGTTTGCTGCTCTAGAACAAAGCTCCCATTCTGCAGCGTCCAGCAGATTTTTCCTCTGTAATAAGGGAAATAAACAATCACCTCCAGGCATCAGACAGGTTCCCTTATAGTTGTGATAACCTCTTGCATGCCAAGGTCAAAGTGAGACCAGATCCTGCTTTCCATCCAGGCTTTACTAATTCAGTCTGCATACAGTTCATTACACTCTTTCAAGAAATTTATTTGATTCACAGTGATATCCTTTGAACAGTCAGGAAATTCTACTAGATGAAACTCAGACAGACATTGATCCCTCGTAAGCCACAATGGTCTCCTTCCACCCCCACCCCACCCCGAGCCTGAAAAGTCACCTACAGCAGCCAAGATGGGACGGGCAAATGGCTGCATGCACTTTGCTGTGTGTCCTTTAAGGCTCTTTGGTCCTGGTTGGTTACTTCTCAGAGGTATCCAAATAAAACTTCTCTTTCCTATTCAGAACACACTAGTCTTTGGTGTTTAACCCAATGGGCTGAGAAGGGAGGCAGCTAGGAAAATATACCCATTAAAATGTGCTGTTAATGCCTACATATATTCTTTTTACTCACAGTTAGTGGACTTATTTTTCAAACACAGAGAAGCAAAATCAGACATGATTTTAGCATATGAGATCAAAGTCAGTGTCAATAGACAGGGCTTAAAGCACCATGAAACTTTGCTGCCTCATGAAACGGCCTGACTATCTCAAGTTTAGCAGCACTCCCAAAGACGCTTTCTGACCAGGGGACACTGGGGACGAGAATGAGAAAGAACAGAGAAGAGCCCCATGTTGGCAAAGGCTTCTTCCCCTCCCTTCCTGAGTTAGCTAGAATTGCAAGGGTAAAAAGTTTCATAGCATGAGACAAGACGAGGAGGAAGAGGAGTAAGAGCATCTTTTTGTCCCAGGGGCTCTTTCCCAGTTCTGGCTGGAACTAGAATCCCCAAAGATTCCTAATTTTTCCAAACGGTCTGAGTATCTCCCTCAGGGGGGGTCTCAGCTCCTGGTCTCCAGGGGATGGTGGTTAAGGGAGGAACAGATAGAAGACTTGGCTTTTGCTCCCCTTGTTCACTTTTATCCTCTGGAGTCCAATAAGCCTGGGTGAAAACACGAGGCTCTCCACCTCCCAAATCCACCCTGGCCTTCAGGGCCTGTGGGCAGAGGAATGAGGGGACAGGTATACAGAGCAGCTGAGGAGCTGGTGAATATGGGCACAGACTGGTCCTTACTGGGGTGGGGCATTTAGAGGCCCTTATTGAAGTAGACATAAGGCACAAGTTCTCCATACTTGGCTCTGATGGCATCTTGGAGCTCTGGTTCCAGATAAGAAACTGGCAATTCACTGAGAAGACAGAAGGGGATTATGAGCATGCCAACTGGACAAGCAACAAATTATTGTCAGATAAAGTCCAACTCAAATGCCATCTCTAAGAAGCCCTCCCTGATTTTTCCATCAGAATGAATGGCCTCTATACAACATAATATATTGCTTTTACTTCTACTCGGGCCTGACTTCATTTTCCTTGGTGCCAAACTTCCATCTTCTCTGCAAAATTACAAGCACAAGCACTTCTCCTGTGTGCTTGGAACACAGTAGTCTAGCAGACGACACTGAAATATGAATACCACAGCAGGGGAACCTGGTATCTTCTTGGTATATATCCAAGCTGCAGTTCGTCTCCTAGAGCTAATCCTCTCCCCTCCCACAATCTGATGCTTTGTTTCCCCTTTCCATCATCCCTTTTCACATCCCTTCCCTGCCAGGACATGCAAGAGAAATAGAGAGGCCCAATTCATCCACCCCCTAGCAAACACAAGCCAGAATAAGTACCTGTACCTTTGTTCAATTTCAAGGACCAGATCTAGCCAGGGAGGATGTATCTAATAACCTAACCAGCAGGGACAGAAAGTTTCTTGTTGTTCCCCCACTTCCCTCCAAGGCAGTCCTTGCTCCACTGGGAGGAAGCCACTCATGGCTCCACCCCTTGGAGCTCTGTTTTGGTTTACCATTCCCCCCCACCCGGGGCTAAGAGGCCCAGAGTTTAGGCTGATAGGCACTTGTCCTTAGACAAAAATGCTGCCCTTCCTGCCCCTCCTTGTCTCCTTCAGGACAGCAGGCAGGTCAGGGAGAGCAGGGACAGGGCATTCAGTAAAACAAAGCGAGGAACGAAGAGCTGTTACCATTTCTGTGGGAAGAGCCCACAGGCCACTGGCACCATGAAGATGAGGCTGGAAGAAAGGAGAAACAAAGTGTCAGGGGCATCTCCCCACAGGCCTACTCACATCCTATCTCTGAGTCCCCCAAAGGAAGGAGGAAATGCCCACTCACCCAGCCTGCCCTCCCCGCCACCCCATGGTTCCTCTCCCTGCAACTCTTCTCTTGGTCTCTCAGTGCCAGGATATTCATTCTGGGATGGGATGGAATCAGCCTCCCTCCACCTCCCACATCCACCTGTTGTCCAAGCAGATGAAGATAACGAAGGCGCTGGGAGTATAACTAGCAGCCCTAAAGACCACAAGCACTGAGCAGTGAGGGTTATGACACCTGAGGTCCTGCCCCCCATAGCCATGAACACCTGGGCTGGTGGAGACCAGAACAGGGCAGCTTCTCAAACTTCACTGTGCGTGCAAGTAACTCATGGGGCTTGTTAAAAAGCGATGCTGGGGCGCCTGGGTGGCGCAGTCGGTTAAGCGTCCGAC